TAGGATCAAGTCCAACTGTTAAGCTGGCGCTGCCAAGTCCACCACTAAACCATGTCCCTAAGCACCACTTCCACAAGTCTTTTAAATACCTCCCAGGATGGTGATTCAACCACTTCTCTGAGCAGCCTGTTCCAATGCTTGGCAACCCTTTCAGTGAAGACTTTTTTTTCCTAATACCCACTCTAAACCTCCCCTGGCACAACCTGAGGCCATTTCCTCTTGTCCTATTGCTTGTTACTTGGGAGAAGAGACCGACACCCACCTCACTACACCCTCCTTGCAGGTAGTTGTAGACAGTGACAGGGTCTCCCCTCAGCCTTCTTTTCTTCAGGCAAAACAACCCCAGTTCCCTTTTCTAGGCCCTTCCCAAGCTTTGTTGCCCTTCTCTGGACACGCTCCAGTGACTCAATGTCCTTCCTGTAGTGAGGTGCCCAAAACTGAACACAGCACTTGAGGTGCGGGCTCACCAGTAACAAGTGCAGGGGGACAATCACTTCTCTAGTCCTGCTGGCCACTCTGTTTCTGATACAGGCCAGGATGCTATTGGCCTTCTTGGCCACCTGGGCACACTGCTGGCTCATATTCAGCTGGTTGTTGACCAAATTGATGCTATATTTCAGACTTCAAGCTTCAGTAGAGCATAAACTGGAACATTGACTTTTGCTGTTGATTTTTACAGTATGTACCTCATTTTTAGGTAATCTTTATAAACCCTGAGCAAAAGAGCATGAGAAAGAAAAAAAGGTTTAAGAAACTCAATGGTGTAAATTGACAAAATAGTATCACCGAAAAAAATCTGAGCTTTCATTAATGTGTTCTGCAGGACTGTAAGTAGGGCAGATATGAAACTCTTCAGTCTGGTGCTAAGCTGGGGGAGGAGAGCACTGCTGTTCAGAAAAAAGCCCTTATTGCAGGCTAAGTGCTGTAGCCTCTTGTACTTAAGTGCTTGAGTTTATCCTGTCTCAGGTCAGTAAACTATTTCCGATTTGTTTCATGAACTATACTGTTGTTGTCTGTAGCTTCTTTTCAGCTGATCCAACTCAAAAAGAAATTCCTGTGTCAGTCCTGGGAAAAACAAGTTTGCATAGCTACTCTCGTCTCTTATAGCCCACATTCCTTCTTTTTCTCAGTTATAAAGGATTTACAGCACAATAGCTTATTAAATGTTGTTCATGTACACACCTGCATATGCAATGCCTGCTTTGATTCTGCCAGCAGACCTGCATGGGTGAACCTTTGCAATGGGGAGAGGAGTCTTGTGTGCGTGACCCTAAAGTTGTCCATGTGCAATCGCTCATGTAATCAGTGGCATCAAACAGTGGAGCACTGGGGTCCTCATTCCCTTGGCCCATGGGGTGATGTCAGTAACCCTGGTGAAGATCTTACAGTAAATAAGTCTGCTAAGGTTTAGATGCAGTTGCAGGCTGTAATGTTAGTGGTGCTTTCTTTTGCTTATTTTTTTAATCTTTTTTCTTTATTTTCTTTCTTTTTTTCTTGTTTTCTTTTATCCTTTCTTTTTTATTTTTTGTTCTTTTCCTTTCTTTTTGTTCTTTTCCTTTCTTTTTTTTTTTAAAGAAACCTTTACATCTTCTACTGGTGTTGATTTTTCTTTTGTGCATTTTTATTATTGTTTTAAACCTTACCTTACTGCTGCTTGTAAGATAAATGATCCGATGAGAAAATCCCAGGTTTCAGATTGGAGAAGGTGGCAAGTTTTTTGTTGTTTGTAGGTTGAAGGTGGCTAAGCAGTTATTGATAACTCTTCCAGTTCTGGAGACCTTTGGGGCAATGAGGCAGAATGGCAAGATTGTTTTCCTATTAGAGGTTAATACCATGTAACATGTGAAAGGTTTTATTGTGAGGTTACCTGCCCGTTAGAGAGTTTTTGCCTGCCAATTGGGGTGCCTGCCATCTTGTTGTCTGGAATAGCATCCTTCTATCTGCTCAGGGATCTGCGGTGCACAACGGAATAATGTACTTAAGAAAGTCAGGTTTTGAGCAAAGCTGAGCTCTTCAAACTTCCTCTGCAATCTGATACCATTTGTCTTCTTTCTCTGGCTCAGCAAACACTGACAAATCGATTGTCACTCTTGTGTAGCAATCAGAGTGCTCTTATCTGAAAACTTTTGCAGACTTATTAACAAACAGGCAGAGGGGAGGACGATCAGATCCTGGAAATATTGGAAGCATCTTGCTCCATGCCTGTTTGGCTGTGTGTGTTTATCTGTTTTGTATTGTGTGCAAAGGTGATGTGTCATTGCAATCTGTGCTCGCTCATGAACGCAGCTATGTGCTCCCCTTCCTTCTCTTTCTCTTTCAGCTGACCAAGGCCCCTGGCTAGGAAAGCAAATGCTGGGCTGGAAGTGTGGAAATAGAGCCATCAAGAGAATAGCAGCCTCCACTGGCCATAGACTGTGGAACTAAAGCAGCAGAGTACTTCATCAGATGCTTGGTGTTGAATGTAAACATCTGTAATCAGTTTTGAGTGGCTTTAGGATTAAACAAATGGTCACGTTGAGGCTGGTGAGACCACTTCAGCAGATACTGAAGGAGAATTGTCTTGAAGGCTGGCATCAGGGCACTTGGAGTGGATTTGGCAAAACACAGGCAAAACTGATCCTGAAATGGTCTGATTTAGGTTTTGTGCAAATGGGTAACTGTTGTGCATTTCACTGTCCCATTAGGTTGCCAGTTTGAACACTAAAAGTAATTGTGTTCTCTTAATAATGAATCCTTCTTGTATGAGGATTTGTATTTTGTCAGAAGGCTTACTGGCCATGGCTCCTCCTGCCCTGTCTGGTGGTCATGTCCCTGGATTTATTCATTTGGCACAGACTGTTGGGTTCATGGTGACAGACGCTGCTGTGTGTTCTCTACTAGGTTGCATGTAGTTTTGTTGAAACTCAATGCCCTAATAAAATGTATGTAAAGAGAAAGCTTTCCTATCCACCTTCTGGTTATAAAACTGTAGCAATTATTTTGTGAATGAAGAAATCTTTTTTTCCTAACGTAAACAGAATAATCTAAACCTGTAGATTAATCTCACAGTAGATTAATCTTAAAATGAAAGTGTTATTTTTGTGCATTTTCTTGTCATCTGCTAGAGCAAAATCCACAGCTGGCTTTTGCAGGACACCAGCTATACCCTGAACTGTGATGTGGGACATCTGTAAAGCAGCCTGTTTTTTTTTTTTTCCATTCTTCCTCAAATACTCAGTTTTTGTACTGTGATAATTTTAGCACTTCAAAGACAGAACAGTGCTTTGTCCTTAGGTGGCTTGGTAGCAAATTTTCAACACATGCAAAGAAGTAATACTTTGTTTTGTGTCTGAGAAAATGAAGATGAAATGGTCATTTGCTCAGGGTCACTCATGGGGTGGCACCAGTGGGGAATGAGGTGCCAGGTCAGGCCTCGTGGGTGCCGTGCCATAAGCCATCTGCTGAAGCGGGGCAGTTTTGCTGCTGGGTTACACGCCTGGTGCAGCAAAGACACATCTGTCAGAGCAACGTGGGTGGGTGACAGGTCCAGGCATGCGTGAGGAAGGGTGTGTGGAGACAGGAGAACATCCAGCACCTCTGGGTGAGATGGTGCTGCAGTGCCTGGGGCAGTGGTGTGGTGATGTGGATACGTCCTCCCAGGGCCAGCCGAGCTCTTCAGGGTGAGTCCTCTGGATTAGGTCTGATTTCTCCTCTGGTTCCCCAAGCCAGGCCTGTTGTAGTTGTTAACAGTAACAAAACATTGCTTGTTAGGACAGAAACCCGCCTCATTTCTCACTTCAAGCTAGAAAATGAGCTGGAAATAGGAGATGCCCTCGTTTCAGGTCAAGAGCAGTGACTAACTCTTCAAGGCAAACTTTTTTTTTTTTAAAGACTTTCAAAAGCATTTAATTATTTCTTGTCTAAGGAAAGGTAAATACGTAAGAGCTCACTCACGTAGCTCTAACATTGACTGACCTTAAATGCTAAAGTCACTGCACACTAAAATTTGGACAATTAAGAGTGAAAACACTGAACAGTTTTATAACCCTCAAACTGAGTAATTGGCTAAGAGTATCCCAATTTCTGACAGAATAATTGATGCTTAGAGAAGTGTTCATTTACATATCAAGGTCTTCACAAAGCCCTTGGGCATCACAGCTTGCTCTTATGTTATACAGTCAGACTTAAAGTGCAACAAAATTTAATGTTTTTATGTTGAGAAGTTGCTCAGATGTCAGTGTTCAGACATCAAAAATTTAACCACAACAATAAATATAAAAAATCCTGAGAAATGGCTCCTGGGTGATAGGAACCCTGTGCTATAGATAAAGCCCTCGATTTCAGGAGCCTTCTTTCTCCAGGCTGAACAACCCCAACTCTCTCAGCCTTTCCTCATAGGAGAGGTGTTCCATCCCCCTGATCATTTTTTGTGGCCGATCCCATCACTTTTGAACAACCTCAGAAGACCACTTGATACCAGACAGTGTTTTTGCTTTGAGTGTAACTTGTGTTTGCAGGTAATGCACCTCAGTGTTTTGGTATGAAGATCATACAGTTTGTAAAAGAGGGTTGTTCTTGAGTTACGCACATTTTACTTCTGCTGTTTGGCCTGATGGCTGTTAACAGCCACTGACACTATGGAACCACTTTATAGTGAAACCTTTGATGTGCCCCTTCACCTGTACCTCCTCTGTTGTGTCTGCTCAATAGATCAACTTTGTGGTAGGTGGGCTTTCCATAACAGAGGGGCTGTGACTTGGCATGTGCAACATAGCATTGCACAGCATTGCTCTAGGAGCAGTGAGAGAGATTTACTATATCGCTTGATTATTAAATCAGTTTGCCCCTTCCACATTCACTATAAACTGGGTCTGCTATGAAGCTGAGCTTCAGAGAAGCCCGTGCTGATGGCATTGCATAGATTATTGCATCCTAATCTTGCATGTCTTTTCGCAAAGCTTTCTTTTATTCTTAATTTGTATTTCCTTTCTTGCTGCATTTTTTTTTCTCTATTTTGTATTTTAGGATCGGGATATTCACCCCTTGAAGATGATGAAGATGTGTATGCACGCAGTAGATATAAAGGTGAATGCTTTGCTTATGTGCTAAAGAGGACCAGATGATTGCTGAGAGAAAGCTTCGTTCTTTTTCTTTTCACGGATTATAAAATCTTGGTGATCTAGCTCCATGGTTTCTGTCATGGATTTTTAGATCAAGCTTTAATTTCTCCTTTTTTTAACAATGAAAATTAGACCAAGTACTGATCGCCACTCTTTTACGCACCTGAGTAAGTAACTTTCACACTGCCTTTGCTCTTGAAAGATCATGTTGTTAAATCATGAAAATCTAGGAAGAGCTTCTCTTTCTTCTTCATGCATTCTAACAAAACCATCAGTGATAAGCTGACTCAAAACCTGGGCCTACTGATGGTGATGTATAGAAGTACATGAAAGAGAACTTGATTTTCATGACTTTTTTTTTTTCCCTCATAAAACTGTTTGCATTTCAGGTTGACTTTACTACCTGAAATGCCAAGTGAAGTGTGTTTAACAAATGAACACGTACATTCCAAAAACAAATTATGTAGCTGGATGAATGAGTGAATGGAGTGGCATGTTTATAAAGCAAATTCAGCTGGGTTTTTTCCCTATTCTAGAAGATTTTGCCGTTCATCAAGACTGAGAAGTTTTTTGTCACTATCAGTAAATCTTCCATTTACTGTGTCCATTTTCTTAAAAAGTCTGCTTCTGTTTCAGCACCCCTCTGCCAAAATCCCTCAGAAGCCTAGACAGTAAAGAAACTTAGCATTTAATTTGTCACTTTAAATAGTAACTGTATTTCTTTTTAGTAAACTCATCTGTGGACATGGTAGAATTGTAACATAATCATTGTAATTATTTGAAAATACTGGGCGTTGGTGTCTTGTTGTGCATTATTGATTCTCTTCAAAGAATCAATGGGTCTTTATAAGAGGTAAGTCATAAAGTAATTCAGATGTTTATGAACAACAGAGAGGAAAGCACAGATGCTACGGCTATGTTGCTGTTTTCATAAATGTCTTACATTCCTTCCAATAAAGTCCTTCAGTATAAAATTTTGCTTTCAAACACATGCAAAAATATTTCTCTAAAGCTTTATTTAGGTAAACTCATTTTTCTTTGCCTTTTAAGATGTAACCTTCTGTAGACACATAGAAAAAGAAGTCCAGAGATCATGAAGACAAATCAATGCCAGTTCATGCCAGGGCAGGCAAGTAGTTAAAATGCAGATTCTGTGTAAATTCCTTTTATATGGCAATCCAAAGTGGATTATACTCATGTCAGCCAAAATGTCACTGGGGTAAGTGAAACATAATGACTCATTCACAAAGATATTAAAAACTGCCCAGAGTTTGGAAGCGCTACTGCCAAATGTTGAAGATCAGACAATGTGAATCTAAGAGTATAAAGTACTGGCATAGAAAAGGCTCACTCTTCATTAGCATACTTATTTAAGGTGGTATTGGGGGGAAGGGGGTGCAGAAAGACAAAGCAAGGGAAAATGGGCTGAGTAGCTACGTTCAGAGCTTCTCCTTATATGTGTAGTCCAGCATTTTGGGTATGGCCCATTGCTCTGCAAATAAAACTTCCCAGTAACAAATAACTAAATGAATTTTCTTAACTGATGTTAACGTACGTAAGCAGCAGTGGGGTTTTTTGCACACGTACTCACTAAACAGTGCGAGCGAGTACACAAATCCATCTTCTGGCATCTGCAAACAAAACATTGCAGTTTACTGTAGGGGTGGAGGCGGGGGAATCAACCTCCTACCAAACCCTTTTGTCTTCATCTGGATGTTTTTCAACTTGTTCAGCTTTCCAGAGAAACATCGCCGAGACTTTCTGTGCCCACAGCATTTTAAAAGAGTTTTTTCCTTCCTCCCCAGTGCACCCTCAGCTCTGTTGGCTGCTGTACCAGCAGGAAACAGCACAGCCGGTCACTTTGCATGCTGCTTGTGAAGGAAGTGCTCAGCTGAGGCTGGTGTTTAAACAGGGCTGAGGGTTTGGGGAAAATGATGCTCTAGAAAATGCTTTCCTTCCTGCCACTCGGCATGGCTGTCTCGGATCATATTTGATGAGGAAGGGCTTCCCAGACATCAGTTCCTGTGGTCATCACAGCCCTAGGGCTACTGCTCTGATGATCCCCATTCCTAATGTTTTCTCAAATAATGTAATGATCAAACAGTAGCCCTAGCTGTAGAGGCAACATTGTGCCTTCAACCATTTCTGCTTGCTGCCTGTTTTCCCTTAGTTTCAAAAGCAGGATTGAGTCCCTGAAATGTTTTACTACTAAGTGATAACGCAGGCTGTTTTATTGCTGAGGAATGGTGCAAACTTTCTATTCAACAAAAAACCACTATGTAGGTCCTGGTACCTAAAAACTCAAATTTCAGTTAGGAGGACAGAGCCCAGTGCAGATGTTGAAGCTCCAGAAGAGGTGCCTGGGAAACCTGTAGCTTTTCTTATTCCCAAAGCCTTCAGGAACACGGCTGATCTTGTCTTGAGGCAGGGAACAGCTTGTGTGACCTCTCAGGACCCCACCCAGCCCTAATATTCCACTAATACTCCATGTAGCTGCTTAGCCTTTGAAAACCAATATGTGCCTTCACTTAAAAATAAACAAACTTTGATCTAAAACTTTGTTGTATCGTTTGATGTGCTTTCAGGCACATAAGCTTTTCAAGTTAGCTGGGTTGTTTTTGGTTTGTTTTTTTTTTCAGTGATAAAAGTTGGTCTAAACCCAGATATTTGCCCCCTTACAAACCCCGCCTCACCACCCACTTTATTCTAATCACATTCAGTTCTAGAGTAAGCATAATAATGTTTCAGATCAAACAGATGTTCCTCCTAAGCTCTTCAAGTTATCCACATCCAAAAGCATGTCTGGTTTTGTTTTTCTTTCTGACAGTATCATTTGGTCCAGCAAAAGCTGTATTACCCCTCCCTAGGAGCCTTGCTTTGTTTCTCTCTGTAGACCACCATAGCTGCAATGACACTACAGGAAAGGCTTTTTCTTTTTCAGTATTCTGTTTGTGGATTAAACTACATTTGTTAGTTGTTAGCCAGTTTGGGGTTTTTTTAAATATATGTGCAGCTCTTTACTCAAGGCAAGTGTGTTTGTAAAGCCACAAAAATTTGCAAGAAAACTCAGGCAATTTGCAATACGTGAAACAGCTGCTTTGTCTTTTTTATTTTATTAGCCTCTTGATCGTGTTGCAAAGTGTATTTGTCTTAACACCCTTTACAAAGGAAATCAGCCATGTGTGTTTGCACCTTATATATGTGGAAAACCGGAGGTGTAAATACCTTGAACTTAATTTGCTGAAGGATTACCTAGCTGGCTGGGGCAAAATGAAGACTACCTCAGTCTTCATCCCCCCTGTTGTGCCCCTTCAGTCAGTGTTCTCCTACTAACTTCAGGTTTAAACCTTCTGCAGAAAACCTGAAACCTCCTCCATAGTTAAGGAGATCCTACAGCAAGTGAGGAAAAAAAAGATAAATTTGAAGATTAGGGTCTCAGGGCACGAGAAGAACAGGTGGGACAGAAAAGTTTGAAATTTTGGGGATGAGTTCACTGAAGGGGAGATTATGGAAAAGCTCTTGTTAGCTCAGGAGGAAGAGGGTTTCTCCAGGAGGTGAATGAGACAGAGGCTGCCTCTGTGAATCCAACATACGTGGCTTCCCCCAGAGAGTGGTCAGAGGTGATGCTTGAGACTGCACCAGTGGCAGTGGGGTGGGCAGCTAAGGAGGCTGCAGAGATGAGTGTTGTCATCACTTGTTCCTTCAGCAGTAGCTGATTTGACTTCTATTCCTATTAGCTCGCATTCCTCACCTGCTCTCCCAGTTTTAGTTTGGTTCACAGCAAGCATGAAAAATGTGAGCCACTGATGCACCCCCTCAACAAAGTGGTCCAAGTCAGTTGATGTTTTGGGGTTTTTTTCAGTGTTTTTTGTTTGGTTTTTTTAATATCTTTTGGTAACTATGGGATAGACTTTAGGGTGAAGGACAGGAAGTAGTTAAAAAAAACAAACAAAACAAAACCACGCTCAAAAGCCACTCTCCACCAAAGTACTTTTTTTTTTTTCAGTGTTTTTTGTTTGGTTTTTTTAATATCTTTTGGTAACTATGGGATAGACTTTAGGGTGAAGGACAGGAAGTAGTTAAAAAAAAACAAACAAAACAAAACCACGCTCAAAAGCCACTCTCCACCAAAGTACTTTTTCATAATTGTAAGGTAAATAGTGGAGGATGTATTTGACATTCAGTACTTTGTGAAAACAGGGCCATAGGTGGAAAAAAACCCCAGAGATAGGTTGATTGTGTGGCTGAACCAAAAAGCTGAACTGCACTGTGCCCCTAACCTGCTGCGTGCTGTCAGACTAGTCTGCTCGCTTCCCCTGCTTCAGTTGCTGCATATTTGGTGACACTGGGAATAACGCCACTTACACATCTCTTGTAAAGGGTTTTCATGTGTATTGGTGAAATACAAAAATAAGCATGTCACAGTACAATATGACTGCTTCAGAAACAGACTAGAGGAACGTCCTCTTGGTCTAGTCAAAGGCTTGACAATAGTCTCCAACTTTAGTCCTCAGATGCTATTTGTCTTGATTCAGGACCAGGACAGCAAAGTGTAGGTGCAAAATGTAGCTTCCATGGGGAAAGTGTAAATATGTCCTAGAGATGTTGTGCACAGAATATAAATATCCCTTGTATGAGAAATACAACAGGGTGTATTGATTTTTGTTTATTTATGTGTAGGGCTGATCTCAGTCATGTAGAAAAATGTACATAATAACTATAGGAATTAAGAGTTAGACATGAATATCTGCCAAAGTGATTGAGAACTTATTTTTAAATGTCTCCTGTGACTTTTTAAGGATGAAGGCTAAAACTCTCTGTGTTTTGTTTGTTTTGTTTTGTTTTCTCCCCATCATTCTTGCATACTTTGAAAGTTTTGTCATGTACCTCCCGCACGTCACACATTGTCACACAGGATTTCAGGACCTGTCATCTTTCTCTTTTTGTCTTGCAATCCTTCCCTCCCTCCCTCTTTCTTGTTACGTCCTTTTCAAATCTTGGAGCTGAGAAGGAGCAGGCTTAGTCACTCCTTGTGTAGGAAACTCCTACTAAGAAGCTGCCCACTGCAGATGAAGCACGGCTTTCACGGTGCACCCTGTTGTCAAAGCTAAGCAAAGATTTTGAAGCTTTGGTTGGGAAGGGGAAGTCTCTGTTTGATACTGCACCCATCAGTGTCACAGTATGGTGTAGAGTCCTCACAAGGAGATGATACCAATATCCTGAGTATTTTGAAGTGTGGCCCTGACTAGTTATTAAAGGATCAGTTTTATGTACGTGTGTTTCCCTTTTTCCCATGAGTTTGGTAGGAGCATTAGCCATGAAGTCCCAGCCAAATTCCAGCTTTCCTCTGACTGGGCAGGTGCATCCATGTCACTGTCCTGCATCCAGGAGCAACTAGTTCTCATACTTCAGGCTACATTTCCATGATATTAGGGAGAGGTAGTCCTCTACCCATCTTTTGAGGTGAAGAGTTTAACACATGAAGTCCAGACCTTTGAGAACATTTAAAATAGGATTTAAATTTTTGCAGCTTGGGTTCCCTTTTCTGAATATGTGCTAAGTATATAGTATGCTTGTGAATTAACCTCGACACCTTCTGAAAGATTTGACAGTAGGAAGTGCAGGGGTTTGTGCTGCCAAATACATGCATTGTGCCTAAAGGCATTTTGCACTTGGAAGCTACAAATTACTTACCAAAGAGAGAGGAATGAGGTCAGATCTTTCTCAGAAGCTCTTCATTTAGTCTGTTGGATTGGGCACTTGTCTTCAGATTTAATCATGGCAATGGCATTATCCCATTTGCTGGTAGAAGGCTATTTTGTTGGCAATATGAAAAGCATTCGAATATTTCAGTGTGGACCACAGTACTGCTGAGAACAACAAGAGAGCTGCTGTTCTTGCACACTTCACAAGTTCCAGTTCAGCCTTAATCCTGGGTGCTGACTTGGAAAGTAACTTTGCAAAACTGGAGCTGTGTGTAAACCCTGAATAGTTGTTCTGACACATGGAGGATGTGTACAGGCAAGCTTGACACGTTGGCAAGATGATTTATGTAAGTCACATCCTTTCTAACTGGGGGAGAGCTGGAACTATCACAGAGTTCAGCCAAGGCAATGTCCTTTACTGCACAAACTAGTATGGAATTTTTTTTTTTTTATTTTAAATGGGCAGTGAGAAATCTAGATGTTGTTAAGATGATAACTACAGCTAGACCAAAGGTGTTCCTAGTGTAAACTTTTGTTACCAAAGAAAAGTTAGGTGTATCCATCTAAAAAGAGGGGGAAAAACGTCTGGTTGTCATCAAGCTGTCCACATGGTGGCACACTTATTCCATGGACAAAAAACTATAGAACATTCGCCCCCCAGTCTAATGTCTCCAATCTTTAATGTTTGTAATAAAAAAGAGCTGCCAGTCTTTGAAGGGCTGACCTTCTGGTGTATAAGACTTAGTGCCCCTTGCTGTACTGTTACCTCTCCAGTTTGAGGATTGCTGACTTTTTATATAAGACTTTTTTTTCCATTTCTTCTCTGTGACCTTGAATAAAGAAGGCGATTTTATGTTTGTGCCTGACCTTTTACATTTTGCGATGTACTGTGAGTGTCTTTTTGTGCTCTGTGCTAGAAACACCGTGGTGCTCCCCCATTAAGGTGAAACATGGTTATGCAAACTGCAGGACACCTCAAGGAGAATATTACAAGAATGTACTGGGGACAAGATGTGATATTCGCTGTCAAAAAGGCTATGAACTGCATGGCCCTCAGCAGCTAATTTGTCAGTCAAGCAAACGCTGGTCTGGGAAAGTGCTGTGCAAACGTAAGTAGCTATGAAGTCTGTGCGAGCGACTTGTGCCTCAGATTCAACAGACAATAAACTTTACTTGCCTTTGAAACAGTGATCTTGGGATTTATATTTGCATTTTAAACATTGACACTATGCTTAGATATGTATATTGGTTTGTTGCTGAAGATCTTACAGTGGTACAGGGCATGATAAGTATCATGAGTGGTACAGATACTCTTGGCAGAGGACAAAGACAGGGAAGAGTGTGGGATTTTGATTTGTGGGTGTAATTTTATGATAGACCCATAAAGCTGCTTTAAGATTTTGCCCATCTTGGATTTTGTAAGCTGACACAATTTGTATCAAGTGTCTTAAGTGGGCTCATGCAGTAAAACATTTTCTGAGAAGAGAGGAATAGGTACTTGTCTTCTTTTTCTCATATAAATACTGCATTAGGTCCCTGTGTATGTAAAGTTAAATTTCAAATGCAGAACATTTGTAGAAAAATGTAGAGAACCTCATGTGGAACATCACTTTCTCCCACTTGTTTGTTGGCTGCATCCTTATTTCCAGTCATGTGAATACCCACATTCACATTACTCTAAAGGGGGATAACAGGTTTACAGAAATCTCTTGTTTTCTATTCCAGAAAAACGCTGCCCCACCCTGTCCATGCCAACCAACGGGGGCTTCAAGTGTTTAGATGGTGCCTACTTTGGCTCAAGGTGTGAGTACTACTGTTCACCAGGATACCAGCTGAAAGGTGACCGTATAGTAACCTGCATGGACAACAAAGTCTGGAGTGGCCGGCCAGCGTCCTGCATTGGTAAGTAGGGGGATTAGTCTCCATCCTGGGAAGTCTCCATCTTGAGGTACCTAGTCTTCCACATGAATTCCAGAATGCTTTTTTATCCACTTCCTGGGGGAAAAAAAGCACCCGTCCCTTTTGAGGAAGCAGAGGACAGTTTTCCAAGGGATACAGAGTGCTCCCCGTCTCTTAGTACTTTCAGTCCCAGGTGACCATCTTCCTTACGCAGACGGTCTCAGGTCCAAGCGTCATCAGTTCAATAAAGATGAGGCTGGTGTTTTACAATGTTTATAACAGCCTTTGCTGATCTCCTGGGTGACTCTTTGGTAGTCTGTAATTACTGTGCTGCTGCTTCTAGCATGATCTCTGTGTTGGAGTCTGTCCTGCTCTCTGCAATTTAACGATAAAACAAGTTTGAAACTAAACCCCTTGTCTGACCTCCCCTGTTGCTTTTCTTTCTTGTGATCATAGTTTCCAAATATATCCAGGGAATATGAATGGATTGTAGTTACCAGCATGGTTGCAGTGAGCTAAACTAAATTTCAGCCTAGTTAACATTAGTTATGCCAGCAATTTTCATCACATAGTCAGTAGTCTCCTGGGAACATCATCTGGAATAATTGGGTTTATATACATAAATCACAAGTGAGAGAAACAAATAATTTGAGATTTAACTTTCCTTCCTACTAATGTGACTTTAGCAGATAGTGAAGTCTCAGCTGCTGCTCTTGTTTCTGGGAAGTCTCTGATAAAAGGTTTAGCAGCCACCCACAAAGGAAAGTAGTTTTTGGCCATCTGAATTGGCTGACAGTAATTTAAGCTTGTGGGTGGCAGTGTATTTGTGCTCAGTGTTTTCTGTGTATGATAACTTGGTTTTCCTCAGAATGCCTGTGGCTCAGTCTAGGTTAGCAAATGGCTTTGGAGTCTCTCCACTGTGGCCTGACATTCGTAGAATTTGTTCAGGTTTCCTGTTACTTGGTGTTATACAAATGTAGAAATGAGCCTGCTGCTTCTGTCTAGACTCTTGATTTTATTTACAAAACAAGCTTTTTCCTTCTCAATAGTGTGGGCAGAGGAAGAAAAACAAACCCTTTTAAGTTTGGGAATGATAAAATGTTGTCCTCTATTTCCTGGCACTTTTTTTTTGCAGCAACAGGGTGCTTATTACAGAGGATGCTGTCTTGCAGGGTAGAGTAAGCAAGTAAATCTTAAGCAAAAAAAGAGGCTAAGTTAGCAATAATGCTTATTTTCGATTCAAAAAATGCAGGATAGTTGTTGCATAGGGTATGATTGCAAGTCCCAGGTAACCCAGTAAAAGTAATAGATTTAAGTTCTGGTAATACCACATGCTATGGAGAAGACCCCTTCAAATATAGTGTGCACACAGTTCCTATATGCAAATAGTGAATTATGCAGTTATCAAACTGTTTAATGAGGTTACCTTTTGACCTCTTGATAGGTGGGATAGAGATTTTTTTGTGAACAAACATGACCCTAACAGTATAATGCAGTTTGCAATTGAACGCGTATCCCTTACTGTAGTTCAGTTGTTACAGAAAAGTCATAGAATTACAGAATAGTTTGGTTGGAAAAGACCATTGTGATCATCTAGTCCAACTGTAAACCTAGCATTGACAAGCTCACCACTAAACTATGTCCCTAAGCACCACATCTACATGTCCTTTGAATACCTCCAGGGATGGTGACTCCACCACTTCCCTGGGCAGCCTGTTCGAATGCCTGAGAACCCTTTCAGTGAAATTTTTTTCCTAATATCCAACCTAAACCTCCCCTGGACCAACTTAAGGCCGTTCCCTCTTGTCCTATCTGTTGTTATTTATCACTTCATCAGTGACCTGCAGCCTATGAAAGCTTACCGGTGGCCAGGAGAGAACTGTGTGAACAGCTCACTTTCAGCTGAGGAGTAAAATTAAGGTGAGGAAGCAATGAAATGCAAAGGCAAAGAGGCTGGTTTATTTCTTACTTGAGCATATAAGCAGTTAAGTTGCACTGTGTACAGTAGGGATGTTACATGTGATCATAGGCATGGGCTGGTAAAGTCCATGTCATTGAAAATAGGTAGGGAAGTGTCCTGGGAACACCACAACTATTGGCATCAGGTGTGGCAAAATTACTTGCAGACCTGAATTTACAGTCTTCTTAAAAACAAGGGACTTTCCTCTATTCTTTTGTAATGCAGTTGCTTAGCATTTTTGCAAAAAAACCTGTGGGGTTCACAGTGCAATAGTGAAGATCCAGATAGGAAAAGCCTAAGGCTAATATCATTGCTGAAACAGGTATTCATTAAAAGGGGGGAAAGGAATTTTTTTTTTTCCAATTAAAGAAAACTAGGTATGTTTTAGCAGTCACTTATGGCAGCCCTTACAATATTCATTTTTAAAAACCCTACACTTTTCAACTTTGTTTTGAATATTCTTTTTAGAGAAGATTTTAAAGTAGCAAGAAAATAAATCAGTGTTGAGTCACAACACTATGAGCTGCATCCATTTTATCCTTTAAAAAAACCAAAGTCAAATTCAAAGTTAATTTTGTTATATGTGCCATACTGAACAACATTCAACTGTAGTTTCAGATAAAAAAGGGATATTATATACACACACATCTTTAACCCTAGCACCAGAACACCACCTTTGAGATCATAACATAATGCTATATTTTAAACATCATCTCCTGCAATGAAATAGGTTAGCAGCTTTTAAAACCGTTAAAAAATTACTCATTGGACCTAAACTAATAAAGGAAACAAAAAAGTTTCCCAATGAAATGTTTTAAGGGGAAAAAAAAGAAAAAGGGACAATCCCCCAAATTTGACCAGTTCTGGAATTTAATTTTCTGTCTTAACAAAGGAGACTGTCCTTTGTCCCCCTCCTGTAAGAGGAAGGATATCCTTCATGTTGCTGAAGTAACTTTGATTAAAAAAGATCAACATGCAGCTGCTTTTGGTTATCAGCTAAAAATACCAATACTCACTTGAGTAATATTTCCATTTTATCCTTAATTCCCTGTAACGTAGATTAAAATAGGTATTTTCCTTTAAGAGATTGAAAACTGTCACTGTCTTTTCTTTTATAAAGGTTTCATTTTTTTTTTCCTGCTGATTGTATAACAGAGGTTGTGGTAAATGACTGTCACCGGGCCAAGTCATCCTTTTGTCACATCCTAAGACTGTATTGATAGGTAGTTAACTAACAGCTTCCAACTACAGATGTCTGAAACAAGCTTTGCACTCTGACCCATTAATTATACAGGCCCTGATAATGGATGTTTTGAAATACAGAGCAATGCCTTGTGCAGGGGGGTGGGAAGAGCAGGACAGTGGTTTTTATTCTCCCTTTTATGATTTCGAGTCTCTTTGTCTCTTTATGCTTTTGACACAGTCTAATGTTTTGAATTAACTTTCAGCCATCGTTTAATATCGTCAGCAATCAGTAATAACAGCGTGTTTATGTAGCAGCAGACCATTTCCCTATCCCATACGGACTCTTGAATAAGCAAACAGTGGGCATTCAGTACCATTCCTCTGTTTCTTTTCCTCTTGTCATCCCAAATTCACACGCAAATAAACATAAACCTTTAACAAACTCTGAGAAAGGCAGTTAACAAGCTCTTTAAATTTTCTGAAATTGTTGATATGGCCAGTCCCAGAAGTATGTATTAAAAAAAAAAAATAATCTAAAACCTGTTTGAAAACCTAGCATTTTTCTCCACAAAGTTCAAAAGACTGCTTTAAAATTTGGTGTTCCACTGCTGACCTCCTGATTCCGTGTCTGCAATGCCACTGCCCTGTGTGGAGCCAGAGTGCCCGTTGCTGCTGCTGAGTAGCTAAGAAAAGCGACAGCTTACAAGAATGTGGCTGAACAGTGCCAAATTTTTCATGAAAACTCAGTTTCCCTGACCATGATTTAAAGCTTGCAGGCGAGAGTCACCCATTTAATACATAGCCCTGCTAAATGGCTTAAATAAATCCGCTTGGCTTTTCACCGGCCTCTCAGCAGTGACACTGTAGTAAAAGCGTAAGACTAGCCGTACGGGGTCAGACACCTTCCAGCGTGTCCTGGCTCCAGCTGTGGCCAGGAATACTTATTAAGCAAGAGAGTTGGACAATCTGACGCTTGCAGGATGATTTTTCCCTCTGATAAAACCTCCTCAGCAGTCAGCAATCTTGTGGTTTCCTCTGTTGGGGTTTGGTTTTGGAACCAGCTTTAGTTTTCTGACGTGCAGCTGGGCACTTGGCTCACGTCATACATTTAGCGAAGGTTATTTGAGGGGGTTGTGTTTCAGTTTTGTCACTTGTGCATTTGTCTGGATGTTCTCTGGTCACCTTCTCTGCATTTAAATGGGCTGAGGTTTTTTTTAGACCTGTCTTCTTTCTGCCAGGCTGTGGCCAAGGTGCTTAATAAGCTGTAGATTGGCTGCAACGTTGTATGCGGGCACAAGGAAAAAGACCTGAGTGCTTTTTGGTTTAACACATCCCAGCGGCCACTGCAGAGCCTCTTTGGTAGACAGCTGCTTTCTCTTGGCCCATTTCAAAGCAGAGTTCTTCTGGTAGGGTTATTTTAGTGACAGTTGAGTGCTAAGAGGCAACTGAAATGACCAAAGAAAATATCCTTTCCAGGAATTTTTAAGTCCAACTAAAAAGGCTGAGTTGGTTCCCACAGTAACCATATTGTTTGTCTTTACAATGTGGAAGTCCAAACCAGTTCATACCAACCAGTCTTCTCTGTGCTAAATAGCGTAATGAGCTTTCTGATTAATTAAGTGCTTAAAATACTGGGTCCTTAAATGCCATTCTGTCTTTTATTCCAGCATTACATTTATTTAGTGTATTTTGTCCATAGCACAGTGATTAGTTGTATCCACAGTAAACTAACCAGAGCCAGGAGCAGCCTTGGTGAGACTGAGTTATTTCCTACCCTGATTTAGCTATACTGGGGAGGTTACTGAGAGCAGGGGGGCAGACCTCTCGCTGGCTTTGATGTGAGCAGGTTTCCACACATAATGGGAAGGTACTCTAAAAATAAGGGAGTGAAAGGAGACAAAGTGCTCCTACAGCTGGAGTGGATGCTTGAAAATCCTGCTCATTTACATCCAGTAGCAGATGAAGAAAGGAGGAGTGAATGAACTCACAAAGTGAAAAAGTTAAAGAATCCATAAAGAACTAAGTGCCTTATGTAACTTTAGTGAAGGGTGTTCTTGTAAAGTACAGGGAGCTTTAAAAGCTGTTTAGAGGATTCTGCTGTTCATTTTTTATTACTCCACTCCCTGTAGTGGTAACCCACTCTTGCTAGCTTCACCTTCTAGTAGGACCTACAAAGAAATTAACGGTTATTCTCCCAAAAATGGGTATTTGTGTAAGGTATTTCGCAGTATTCCTGGTGTTTTCTGAATAATGCTGGTACGACACTTACCTGCCTGTGCCTCACCCATTCCTTCCTGTGCAAAATTAAGACAGGAGTGCTTCCTATATGGAAGCACTTCACAAAGCTGCAGTGCTTGGGATTGGAGGAAAACTCTTATGGAAGAAATAGAGAGAAGCTATGTTTTGAGGGTCTTGGAATACTGTTAAAAGTTTGAAGGGGCTATGGCAGGGCTGCCCTTGCCCTAGTTAAACTGTTAGAAAACATTGTGTGTAGCTTGTAGAATGTGAGGGTTTATGAAATTATTTTGTATACTTGACATTTTATAAAGACCTAAATGTTTTCTCATTGTTTTTTTTTATTTTTTGAAAGCGAGACAGATTGTACTTTGTACCTGCCCTGCAAATGGAAAGACAAGGCTTGCCACCCTTTAAATTTAAGCAGCATTTTGGGGATTGCTTTCTGTTCACTGGTTAAGAGCAGTCCTGTCTCTTTGTTCATTTTTAACACTGGTATGTGCTTCTATGGATTTAGACTTCATTTTGGACATAACCCAAGAGATGGTCAAAAACATGAGCCTAAGCTATTAAAGGTAGACTTTTTAATTAATGATTGTGATGATGGTGTTTGGGCTTGGTTCAACCAAGCATTTCTGCTATGCTGGCAGGATTGGAAGTGAATATGGCTGAAGATGAATAGCTGTGCATCACCTTTACTCTCTATCAGGGTCTTTTATCATTGCCACTGTTCCTTTACTCCTGAATAATAGTCACAGTGTTCTGGGAGCAGTTAAACAAGCTTTCAAAAACATTCTTCTTGTTTTGTATTACCTGTAAGGCATTATTATAAGAATTACTTGAAAAAAATCAAATGCAGCAGCAGTTCTGTGCAAAATGACAATTGTGTCAGTCTCCTGTTGTTTCTTTTTTTGCCATTGCCACAGGAAAAATAACCAATGTGTTAGCAGTAACATGCAAAGGGATCATGCAGAGAGAGATGTATATGTTCAGCGTGCTTTACAAATGTTCTCAATCACAATATCTATTGCACAGATGAACAAAGAGAGGAAGAGCAGATAAACAGAATGTCCTGGCTCCTCGGCTACAATCTTGGGCCATTTGTTGACACTGCTTTTTAACTGGAGACTGTGTAAAGAAATTTGCAATAACTACTTTTAATTAGTTTTTTTACATTGCAAGGGGTTCATCATTGTCATCTCTTACTTTTCTTAAAAAAAGGTGTTATGTACAGGCTGAGACAGCTCCATTGTTGAGGAGGCCAGCTGAAGGTGGTCCCAGGTTGTGCTGATAGCAGGGCAAGAGCTGTGAAGAACTGCAGAGCTATAACAGTTGCACAGGTGCCCATTTCTGTGACATTTATTTCAACAGACACTGAACCTCCGAGAATCCAGTGCCCCAGCGTGAAGGAGAAAACCGCAGAGCCCAACAAGCTGACGGCCAGAGTGTTCTGGGACACCCCAGAGGGACGGGACACTGCTGATGGGATTCTGACAGAGTAGGTGCAAATCTGTAGATGTTTGCATTTTCTCCTTGGTTTTCCTAGAGTCCTTGGTTAGCAGTTCAGCTGATGAGAGTCACCAAGTACCCTTTCCCCTTAATTCATCCAAGATGCTTATTTATAGCAGTCACATGTCATCAGCCTGTAAAGAATTGCATGTTTAACTGAAAAAGTTGGCAACTTAGAGGTGAATCATTCAGCAACTTGCTTCCACATGAAGGATAGCAGATTGTTGCAGTTATTTTAGAGCTGATGGAATAATCAACAATAGGATTTTGACTGCACCTCTGAAATTTTTCCAGAGCTTCTTTATGGGTCTCATAGTCAACAAATTTTCTTACAAGTTACCTGTTGTACATAACAATGAAAAGGGAATAGTGCATTGGACATAGCAGCAGAGGCAATTTTGACTGTCTTAAAAAAAAAAAACCCTGGTGAATTGTGTTACAAAATAAGATCTGCAACCATCTTTACGCTTCTTTCTTGAAACGTTGGTAGCTTTCAACATTGGATTTAAACTTAATGCTTTCTTCAAAATTTCCTTGTCCATTTTTATGGTTTCACAGTCACTTTTCCCAGAAGAGCAAGGTGTACTTGTGACGGTACCACTGTCTCTGATTTTCCTATCTTTATCATGTAGGATTTATGTCAATCTATCTAGATTATTGCAATGGTAAGAGTATAGAAAATCTACTTCTTTCAGTAAGCAAACAACATCTTTTAATGGTATATTAGTGGACTAGTCAAGCTTAAAAGCTCAAAGTTGTAAGCTTAAAGATGTTTACAGTTTTATATGAATACAGAAAAGCTGCTGAAAGACACAGTGACCTTGCCTTTTTATTGCAGTAATTTAAATATCAGAAAGAAGAATTCATTGCACAATCAAAAACAGTATTGCTGTTAAGGACTGATGTAATAATTCTACAGCAATTAACAGCATTAAAAAAATTAAGCCCGATAAAATAAAAAACTTTGAAAAGTGTCAGAATAACAAAATTCCAAAGTCTTTTTGATGAAGTAATGTCTGGCAGGCAAAAAAAATGGGGAATATCCCATGTAGACTTTGTCATATGAGTAACTGTTCCCAGCCCAAAAGAGGCTAGCTGTTGAATCCATGGAAGCTTTTCCATAAATCACATTTCTGTGTTTATAAAACCTTGCTAAACTGTGATGTTTTATAGAGTATGCAGTGCTTTCCTTAAATACACTGAGTCTCACAGTCCTGGGAATACATAAGCTTTTCCGTTATGTGAGCACTGCTCAACCTCACTGCTTCAGTACTGAGGATACATTCAATGTGTCTGAATTCTCCTGCTGTGATTGCAGGATAGGAGCAAATTCCAGGTGAAAATGCTGCTGTGGATCACCACACCCTTCTGCTGTGACAATAAATCTGGCTTTCTATTCTATTTCTGTACATCTGAACAGTGACAAGTGACAATCATAGGAGCAGCACAGAGCAGCCAGATGGGGTACGTCCCCATTTTAAGAGGCTGGAAGTGGATTATTCACAATACAAAATGAGGATCTATCTCGATTTTTCCTTATGTAAGGAAAAGAAAGCTCAAGTTCCTTTGGGCATGACATGATGCTTGGTTACACTATGGATTGTCTTATAGGAAGCAAGCAGGCCCTGCCCACTCTGCCTGTCTTGGCTTAGCAGGGTGGGACCCTTTTGTAGGACTCCAGGGTGGGCTGTTGGTAGCAAGTTTAAATACTTTGGTATCTGCTGCCCAGCTTCTTCCTTTGCTTACTCTCAGTCTTCAGTCATGCAGCACAGACAGCCAATCTTAGCGTGCCACAAATGAAACTCTTCAGGCTTTTACAGCATTTTCAGTAGGAAAACACTGGTGAATTTATGAATGCATGTCCCGCTTTATCTTCTGTTTTAGTGTTATTTTGAAAGGCTTGCCACCAGGGTCACATTTTCCAGAAGGCGACCACAAAATCCAATATACTGTGTACGACAGAGCTGAAAACAAAGGCACTTGCAAATTTCTTGTTAAAGTCAGAGGTAAGAACGATGTTTTACCCTATATACTAGTGGT